AATTTATAAATTATCAAGGGCTCACGAGGGAGTGGGGAGCAAGGGAGGGGGAAAATGAGGACCTAATACAGGGGGCTTGGGTGGAGAGGACATGTTTTGAGAATGATGAGGGCAATGAATGTACAAATGTGCTTTACACAGTTGATGTCTGTATGGATTGTGATGAGAGTTGTGTGAGCCCCTAATAAAATGATTTTTTTCAATGTGCTTGACACAATGGATGGATAGATTGTGATTAGAGGTGTAAGTACCCCCAATAAAATGATTTTTTAAACAGTTAGAAAAACAGGGTCTATTTCTTAAGTTAGGTTGTACATTGAGGTAGGCCCTGCAGCCCAGACTTCTGATCATCTCTTAGCAGGATGTTGTCACCTGGCTTTAGGCTCCCTGAATGAGCTATGGTCTCTATAAAGCTGGATCACCAATGATTCCCATTGGTGAAGATTCAGTGACTAATCATCACAAGTGGCTAGGTAGATGGATTCAGTGAATGTTTCAGGCTGTTGCGGTGGTCAGCTGCCATCCTGTCCGTCTGACTCGCCCACCCGACACATGGCCTACATGCAGCAGCCTTACCTGTGTGGCCTGGGCCAGCCACATCATGGTTCCTATGTCAGAGCGACTGTTGCAGCCATCTCATTCATTCCTGATCCAGAGTCTTCCTCTTTCTCACTGCCCCGCGACTTCACCAAGCATGATGTCCTTCTCGAGGGGCTGGACTCTCCTGATAGACTGATTAGAATATTATGATGTTGAGTATATATTATTCAAGACATGGATATATTTCTTATTAATACACTGATTAACGCAGTATGTAATATTTATAAATATTATCCAACAAAAATGGAAAAAATAAAATGCCCTCATTCTAACTAACCCAGATAAAGATGCTTTAAAATTTTGATGTGGTCCCATAGTATTTTTATATGATAGCAAAAACCAAACTCGCTACCACTGAGTCTATTCTGAGCCATAACAGCTCTATGGGACAGGGTAGAACTGCCCCTGTGGGCTTCAGGGACTCCTTATGGGACTAGAGGATCCAACCGAATTTTGTCACTTAATGTTTCTGAGGACATCTTACACAGCCTCTAAGTACACATTATTCCATGATTCACTTTTTATGGACAGAAGGGTTATTTCTAACTTTTTCTGTTATCAGTAACATTTCACTGAGAGTTCTATACCTACCTTCCAAGTTTCTCAAGATAAATTCCCAGAATTTAATTAAATGATATGCATGGCATTACAGCTCCTGGTACATATATCCAAATCACCTACCCCCAATGATGCTTCCACAGTGAGCACTAGACAGCGTTTCCTTCTCTCATAAGTGTGTGTGTTACTTAGGGTTCCCTAGAGGAGCAAAACCAAGATAGATAGATAGATAGATAGATAGATAGATAGATAGATAGATAGATAGATAAAAGATAGATAGATAGATAGATAGATAGACCATAAGGGAGAGGAAGGGGGGCAGCCTCCAGAGAGCCTTTTATCTCGGTTACACCTCTAAAGGACATCATCAAGCCACAACCTGATTGACAGGCTAAACTCTACCCATATCTTCTTACAGGTGTCATGTTGGCACAAAAAACCTGGCACAATGTATAAATTCTTTACTTACAAGGGAATAACCTCTGCTAATATTGTCTACATGATATATGCCAGCACATTACAACCTTTTGGGTTTCAAGACCCTCGGCTCTGCTTCTGCACTTAAATTGTCACAATATTTCATGTTATGTAACTGCTAGAAAATGGAATTGTGGACTCTTAAGATGTAGAAAGGCAAGTAACATCTTATTACTATTATGAAAGTAGTTTTAACCTCATGGACCCCTTGAAAGGGGCTTGGGGACCTCCAGAGAGTCCTCTGACCACACTTTGAAAACTGCTGATACGTACTATGAAAGAAATCATGTTATACATCTTTAAAAGAGAAAAGGAATCTTGTGAATTAATTTCTAGACATTGTGGAAATTAAGTACTAAATTGTAGCTTGAAGTGTCCAGGGGAATTCTGATATATTTTTTAATGTTGATATGGATTATGGAAAAATAAAACCTTCTTATAAGTGGATTGTAGTTACTATCCAACTAATGAAGATGAATGCAGCATCAGGGTTGAGGGAAGGTTTATTAATAACTTGTTAATGATATGTAGATGTGTAGGCAGCACAACCTTGCTTACTGAAAGTGAGGCGGGCTTAAAGCACTTGGTGATGAGAAGGATTGCAGGCTTTGGTATGCTTTAGGATTTAATGTAAGAAGACCAAAATCCTCACAACTGGACCAGTAGGTATCAACATGATAAACGGAGAAAAGTTTGAAGTTGACAATGATTTCATCCACCATGTTCGTGGAAGCAGCAGTCAAGGGATCAAAGGACGCATTGCACGTGGTAAACCTGCTGCACAAGACCTCTTTAAAGTGCTAAAAAGCAAATATCTTGCTTTGGGAACTGAGGTGCTCCTGACCCAAACCATGGTATTTTTCAATTGCCTCACATGCCTGTGAAAGTTAGACAGTGAAGAAGGAAGACCAATGAAGTATTGATGTGTTTCAATTATGGTGTTGACTGAGGTAGTTAGTTTATTGTGCCAAGGATAAATGGCTCCATGAACCTCACCTTTCTAGTTCTTGGGTCTCTTGCTTTCTGATGGTTGGACCAGAGTGCAACTGCCTTAACCAGTTCCCTGCTTCAGCTGGCAAGGCTCACTTCCTGCAAGACATCCCCAAGGCGAAGCCACATAGACGACCCCCGTGCACCCCTGGGAGCACCTGTGTGGAGACCCCTGCCAGCACTGAGATATTTACACGTTCACTGACTCGGCTTTCCTCCTGCAGTTGGCATCATTGTGTGTGTTTTGTGAGATGGAGGAGGACTTTGTGGATTGGTGTTGGACATATGGGTTAATGTTGGACATGGGGGCTTGGGCAGCACTGGGTTGGGATGTTTTCCTGATGTGCACTTAACCTTTATACAAAACTCTCTCTTATACATGAGCTTCTTATACATGTGGATTTGTTTCTCTAAAGTACCCAGACTAACACACGGGCAAAGACTGTGGAAAGTATCATGGACTGCCAGAAGAATAAACAAATCTGTCTTGGAAGAAGTATGGCCAGAAATGCCTCTTAGAGACAAGGATGGCAACACTTTGGCCACATTATCAGCAGACTCTAGTCCCTGGAGAAGGACATCAAGCTTGGTCAAGTAGAGGAGCAATAAAGAGGCAGAAGAGCCTCAACTAGATGGATTGACACAGTGGCTGAAACCTTGAGTCCACACAAAGGAGCAATTGTGAGGATGGTGCAGGACCAGGCTGTGTTGTGTTGTACATATGAGTTGGAACCGATTTGAGGGGGACCACCAACAACAACCAACTCATTTAATCTTTTCTTCTCATTATCTCATGACATTGCTGTGTTTCTAATCCTTACTTGTCTTTGTTTGACTCCAGGTGGATTATCATGAGTTTTGTTGAAGAGCTATTATCATTTTTTTTCCTTTTCCTACTTTAGTATGGGAAACTATCTTGCCTTTATGACTGCAAGACAACTCAAAGAACAATATAATCTAGAGCCAGTGCATTTCTTTGTATCAAGTGCAACTCCTCCTCATGTAAGTAGTGTACTTTTCCATAGAGAGAGGGTGACTAGGAGGGGGATGGCAGTCGGGGGGGGGGGGGGGGGGGGGGGGGGGCGGTGTGCCAGGGGAAATCAAATTCTTCTTTTGCTGGAGACCTTGGATGACATAAAGAACCAGATACGAAATGAAGTGATTGGCAATTGAAATGTACCCAGAGGCATCTGGGGAGGAAAGTCTGGGGACCTTCTCTCCCCAGATCAGGCACTGGAAACCCCATGGAGCCTAGCTTCTATGTGCCCTGCTGAGGGACCCCAAGAATTGGAACTGTCTTGACAGCACCTGAGTGGTGTTGGTTGTCATTTGTTTGTTTGTTTATTTGCTCACCTTCAATTTTGCGATCTGGGGGATTTGGGTCTAGGATCGCCTGAGGGCAGGCATATACCTTGTTAATGCAAAGTCTCTCAAACCTTTGTCAACACCATCATCTCTCTACAACTCTAAAAACAGAGAGCACTTTGGCTCTTCCCCAGGTCATGTCTGCCCTGGCACTTCCTAGTTAACACTGACGGTAAGTGCTTTCAACCTGAGTCACCTGGGAACGCACTCAACTTTCAGGAAAGTCACTGGATAAGAAGCGGGCAGTGGGTCAAATTTCCTGAGCAAGCATGACTTTGTAAAGCCAGGGTTGCTGTACTTCCCCCTACCCATGCCCACCCCTGCTCTTTTGACTTTTCCTTCTCTAGAGAGAGGAAGATGAAGGTTTGTGCTCCAGTACACAGTTACAGTCTCGGACCCCCACATAGCAGTGCTACCCTGTCCTAGAGGGCCACTGGGAGTCAGGATTGCCTCAGGGGCAGTAGGTTCGGCTTGACCTGGAGAAGGTCCTGATTGATGGAGGCATGCAAGTCTAGAGGAATCCAGCGACCCTGGATCACTAGGCAACTTTCTGCTCCCTGCTTTTGAGAAGAATTCGGTCTCCCTTAAAACCTGTAGATAAAGTAGTTTACTTCCTAACACTGACTTAATTACTCTTCATTAGAGTTTTCAGTTTATGAACCAGTGTATGCTGTGAAATATCAAATCTATGTTATTAATGTTTCCTTTCCAAGTCCCAGCCTCAAATTCCAGACGGGAAAACATTAACAGAAGAAGAAGTTAAGTGGTCCTATATGGACTTTGGAGGCACTCCCAACTGTTTCTTAATCAACAGCCAAGAATTTCAAGAGTATTTTCTTATATTCAAGGCCGATGTACACATGCTAAATACTTACAAGTAAGTCACTAAGACACGTTTCTTTTTGCAATAGTGATGTATAGATGTATAGAAATATGTTGATTGGCTGTTCTCTGGGTTTATGTGTAGCAGGAGACAACGTTCTAGGAGTTTGAGTCCATGATCTTTGGGGCTACCTATATTATTTATCCTGGCTTAACATTCAAACTAATGGAAGCCTGGCACAGAAACTGCATTTATAAAAGATGGATAAAGTGTAGTTGTGTGCGTGTATTACATATATGTGTAAAAATATATACAAATACATGTATTTTTCGAGGTACATTTTTAATCACATAATAAATATTTGTCAGCGCATGAATGCCAAAGCATTCTCAGGTTCTCAGAGATGAGATGCAGAAGTAGCTTCCCAACAGGGTTGGAACCCTTGAGAACTTGAAAATGAGTTAAGCCGAAGGTGAGCCAGGGAAGAGGGCAGGTTTGCTTGTGAATTTTTTCTCAGAATTTGTCCTGCTCCATGGTGCCTGTCCATTCTTCCGTCTTGGGATACTTGGACTGATGCTGGAGTCATCTGATAGGAAGTCCTAACATTCTGTAAACTTTGAATTCCCTCTGTGTGTGTGACCTCTGGCTCTACCATTTTGACCCACCATCCCACACTAGGTCTCTGAAAACAGGTTCCAATTCTAGTTGATTGTTCTCACCTGTTTGTACAGCAACCACCCCACCCTCCCAAACATGACCATTGGTGAGCTTAGCCATATGCCCATCTCTTAGCGAGCCCTGACCCTCTGGTCTTGCATTGAAGCCTCAACTCTTTGATGGGTTGGGTTGGGATTTTTTTGTTTGTTTGTTTGTTTTTAAGAAAGAGATGATTTTTGTCATTTACCTGCTTTTTCGCATTGTTAGGACAGGGATGCTACTTATTTCAGTTTCCTGGAACAGGCTTAAAATTCCAACTAATGGAAACTTGGCATAGAAATTGCATTTATAAGAGATGGATAAAATGCACTTATGTGTGTATAATATATGTGCATACAATACATAGATTACATGTGTGTAGACACACACATATACATATATATTACATATACTCCTTTCAGTTCCCTGGAAGAAGTATCCTAGGCAAAAGCAAAATCCTTGTCTGGACTATGGAAAGAGTCACTTAATTGACTCTCCTATGTACTTTCGTTGTAACTGTGGGCTACCATTCAACTCACTCAACTCATGGCAAATCCATGCACAAGCGAATCAGACCTTTTGGATCTGTATTTTCACAGGGACAGATCACCAAGTCTTTTTTCCTAGTCCCTCTTAGTCTAAAAACTTCACTGAAACCTGTTCAGTCTCATCCAGACACCACTGACAGACTAGTGGTGGTTGCACATGAGCAGCATTGGCAGAAACGGACCCCAGTCAGAATTCCACCAGTCACATTGTGCCTCTCATTCCTCTCCAATACATTCCTCAACCAGAGCCAGAAGGGTAAAACCAACTTTGGTTATTGCTTTTTTTATTTTTTATTTAAAGAACTGTTTTAAAATCTTTTGTTATGGTTTCCTACTACCCTACAGAAAGAAGATCAAAATCTTTTACATCACCTAGTCTTGGCCCTTGTCTGCCTCTTCTACCATAATTTGCTCTCTTCATTTCTTCAACAGTCATTAAGTTCATTCTATCCCTCCTTCCTGCCTGCCCACATCCACTTTTGCCAAGTTTCCCCCTATTCTTTCAGATCCACCGTCCCTGCCCTAACCCCGCTTTACTATCCTGCCCAGTGTTCTCAGCTCACCCAGAACTTGGCTACGCTTCCTCACTCACAAGTTGTCTGATTATTATCATCTGTGTACCTAGCCAATGTGTAAGCTAGAGGAGAGTGGGGGCTGTGTTCATTTATCACTGTGTCCCAGTGTTTAGAACAGCACCCAGCACCAACCTCAATAAATGGGGTTGGACTGGAATGGATAAAACCAACTTAGAGGTCCCCTTTGCTTGATTATGTCAACCCTCTGCTGAACCATGAAGAGCTGAGAGATGCCAGAGGTAGTCCTTTCCCTGTTAACTCAATGGTCAAACACTGGACCATTAACCAAAGGTTGGCAATTCAGCCCCAGGGCAAAAGACCTGGTGATCTGTTCCCATAAAGGTTAGAGCCTAAGAAACCCTGTGGAGCAATTCTACTCTGTCACATGGAATTGCCATGTCTCAGAATGAATTCAATGGTACCAAATAACAGCAAAGACAGCCATTTGCAGGAAATCACAGGAGGGAGTCCTCATTGTGACCCGCCTCACTCGAAGGCACACTCCATGCCCAGCTGCTATATACTGCCTCTAAAAGTTGATGACCTGTATGAGCCCCTATAAAATGATTTAAAAAAAAGTTGATGACCTTGGACAATGTCCCGGACTGCAGAGAGTCTCAGGCAGGTCCCGACAGGCAGAAGTGGCACCGATGACAAGTGTCTGCCTGGCTGGGAAGAGTCAGAGGGAATGAAATGAGGGTGCAGCATGTGTAAGTGAAGTTACGGGGTTAAGAAATTATTCTGGGGTGTTGATTATGAAAAAGCATCAATGGGCTCTTTTATGTTCACAGCTTTGATGCCCCACTCAAGGCTGTTCTTTCATGTGACGTGACATGTATTTTTGGATCTGAAGATAAAATAATAAGCAATTTAGAAGGTAACATTTTTTCAATATTTTGGGTATTTTATGGAAAGATTTAATATGATGCGCAATAAATGTCAAGTAACAGTCATGCGATGAGTAGAAAATTGGCCCAAGCTTTATTTAGTGTAAACAGAGAGTTCTTGGGGGCACAGATGAGAGGAAGCATACAATTCCACTGTGTTGTGTTAGAGCAACGGAAAGCACAGGGCATGCAGAACATGAGACCTTGGAGGTAACGCGACCATGGGTGTCAGCTTTCCAGAGATAACGATATCTGGAAATAAATCTTTGGTTGTGAGTGGTATCCCGTGTGATTAAATATTTGTTTCATTTTAGGCTGGAAAGATATAACCAGTGGAAGTTTTGGCATGTACCACCGCCAAGGGGGTCACTTTTATCTCATGGAGCCTTCCCACGAGGCCTTCATCCAGAACCACATAACCAAATGTCTCGAACTCTCCACCATCTCCTATTAGATCCCTCTTCCTGTGCATCTTAAAATCATCAGCGATTATGTAGTCTGCTTCTTCACTACTCAGAAATGCCGCATTAATGCTATCCAACCATGGAAAAATTCGATCGTTCCCACTATCAGGTTGGCTTGCCGAACCTGTGTTTCTCCACAGCACACGTCTGCCCTGGCGATGAAAGAGGGAGGAGTAAAGCACAGGTCCGGCAGCATCTTGTCTCTTTCTTTACCTGAGATTCTCATTTGTGGCGAGTGTATCAGCAAAACTCCTGCTTGGAAAATTATCTTTTTTCCCCTTTCAGTTATTTTAATAATAGAAATTGTTATCATGGGAACTGCTTGCTATTGCATTCTTGATTTTTTTCATTCGCATACTATTGCTGTATTCTTGGATCAATGACGCCTGGATCCCACTTCATAAGAAAATGAACTCTCTCGTGTGAGTAAACTTAACAGCCCTGACTCCTCCCTGGAGTCTCTCTCTGCGAATCTTCAGAATGCCTGCGATCCTGAACCTTCTGCTGAAAGGTTTGCTCTCCGTCAATTGCCTGCGGGCTCTGTGTGGCCCTGCTACCCTGATGATAGCCAGCTGGGACCCAGGATGAAAGTCCTTTATGGACACCCTATCTAAGTCTGGTCAGTGGCATATGGAAGGGTCCAGCATCAACGCCAGGCCTGATAGCCTGACTCTGAGATCAGCAGAAGCCTCGCTCTGCCGTCCTTTGAACTTGACATCGGGAGGAAGATTAACAACTGGACACAAAGCAGAACTGAAGGTGGGGGAGGAGGGGCAGAAACAGAGAGAATGGCCAGCGTCAAAATAGTGGCAGAACATAACAGATGCCTACTGAAGGGAGGGACAACCCAGTGTCACGTTATCTCAAACCGTTTGTCTCTTCAGGGCTTGACTGTGCACCCGGACCCCTGACTCCCTTACTGCTGAGCTTCACAATAAACTCCGCTCGCTCCTGAATGTGGCTGATCGCTCTTTCTTACCAGTTAGACTGCTCGGTACATCGAAATGCTGACTCTGTACATTTTAATGCTGAATCAGCACATTAAAATGCCGACTTTAAAATGCATGGCTATGTTTATGGCCTCATGACCTGAGATCATGTTGTCGTTTTGAAACTATGTAAAGATAACAGACTCGTAAGTAAGCTGCAAGAAAAAGCATCTAGGAGGTATTTCTCAGAACGCAGCCTGCCTTGTTAACACAGCCCAGGTAATAGGGAATTCATTCTGGAGGCCGGGAACTTTGAGATAGAGTTCACATAAGAAGGTTGAGCTAGCAATTTGTTCAAAGAATTGTCAGAGCACATTATGTTAAATGGTTAGTGTGGGCTGTACTCTACCTTGGTACCATTTCCAGGGCCCCTTCACTGAAGGACTGGTACAAAAGTCATTTGGATTCGTGAGGATTAATTTGAAAAGTGTTTGTTCAAGAGAGTCCACAAAAGGGTCTCAAAGCACAGGCAAAGCCAGGCCTTTGGGGTCAGCTGTCCCTCCTACTTCTCCACTTGGGGGGAGGTGTAGTTCCCATGGGAAGAGCAGCCCCCGGCCACAGCTGGGAGGGTTCAGCGCTCCCACTGTGATGTCTTCTCCTGGTGGGACCAGGGTGTTGGCATTACTGCAGAAGAGGCCAGATTATTTTTAGGCAAAACTTAATGAAGATGGGTATCAGCCTTATTTTCCAAATATCTGACATTCAAAACCAACCTAGATGTCCAGTGTATACTTATTGAGTACATGAATTCAATCTATCCTTCTATTCATACTGTAGCCTTTATGCAGTGAATAGAGCTACCCTATTAGTTTCTGTGTTCTCTGTGTTTACAATTAATTCCTGCACCCCACCCCATCCCACCCCCTATTCTTTTCTCTCTCTCTTTAAAAACTTGGTACATTTTGGGGGGGATATTTTTCCTGTGGGATTTGAAAAAGATTTTCTTACTCTCACTGCCATTGAGTCAACAGTGACTCACAGTGACCCGATAGGACAGGGTAGAATTGCCCCTGGCAATACTGATAGCAAAACTGATAGCTTTCCGAGGCTATCAGTCTTTATGGGAGCAGAGAGGCTCCTCTCTCTCTCTCTCTGTCTCTGTCAGTTTAAACAGCTGACCTTGCAGTTAGCAACCCAATGCCTAATCCCCTATGGCACCAGGGCGCCTTCAGATAGGTTTTAAGCCTGATTAAATGAGGTGATCTTTTTCTTTCAGAGAGTTTGTACTCTGGCAAAACTGAGTGTCAAAAAGGTTACAGTCATAAAAGTTAGACTTTACATGTTCACTTTGATAGTATTGTTGTTAGGTGCCATCCTATTCAGACCCAAATGGACCCGATGCCCAACAGAGCCAAACCCTGCCCAGTCCTGCACCACCCTCACGATTGTCCCTGTGCCCAAGCCCCTGCGGCAGCCCCTGTGCCACTGTGTCAACTCATCTTTTCCATGCCCCTCTACTATACTGCGCATGAGGTCCCTCTCCGGAGATCATGAGATTTTTAGCTTGATTCTAATGTCTTATAAGTAAAAATTCTAGAAAAATAATAGATATTACCAGGATGATTTTTTTACTTTTCTTTGACGAGCTATAGATACATAAGTTTCTGGTTTTGCTTTTAACATTTTCTGTTAATTTGTTCTTATGGCTTTTTTTTTCCTTTTCAATATTTGCTTTGAAATGAGGGTAGGATAACTATGATTTTCTTATCCAATTTTCCCAGCCACTTATGAGACAGATATGATCTTCCCTATTCTACAAATAAGGAACCCTGGTGGCCTAGTGGGTTAGGCAATGGGCTGCTAACCACCCCAAGGTGAGGCGTTTGAATCCACCAGTCACTCTGCAGGAAGAAGACGAGGCTTTCTGCTCCAATGGAGAGTTACAGCCTTGGAAACCCACAAGGGCAGTGCAACTCTGTCCTTCCGGGTTGCTAGGTGTCAGGGTCAATGCAATGGCATTGAGAGAGAGAGAGAGAGAATCTACAGACGGTGCTTGGAGTCAGGTTACATAGCTTGGCCCAGGTCCCCTAGTATGTAAATCACAGAATAAGAGTGGAGACTAGAAATGTCTGTGACTCCAAAGCCCCTCTCTCTTTCAGTGTGGACCCCAGAGAGACAAGGTGTAAGAGATTTAACAGGTTATTGGTTCTGTTGTTATTGGACCAGTAATACCAACTCATTCTAGAGAAAGAGAAGAGCCAAAAGAGCAAACGATGCTTTGGTGCATACTACCAGAGCGACCATTGTTTTAAAAGAACTCAACAGAGCACCTAATTGACGCAAGTTTAACTTGTAATTAAATATCATCTCAGCATGCTTTTAATTCAGCATTACAAGTCATGTTAATTAGCAAAAAAAACACACAGGCTGCATGAAAAGTTAACAGTTCATTTCTTCTCTCTGTGTCAGGCCCTGATACCATTATGAAGGCTTCCACAGAGAAGTTCTCATCTGCTGAATTTTAGATTCCATATTTCTCGATCAGTTCTCTGGCTTTAGAGATGTAGGCCCTCATAGCATCTTCCTTTGACAACCCTAGAACGAGAAAGAGAGATGCTCTCACAGGTGTTGGTGCATCTGGGAAATGAATTAAATTTATTTGAACTTGCTTAAGAATTCAGAACCTTTGTGGGTGCTCCAGGCTTGCCATTTTGCCTGGCCCTTTAAATCCAATGGTCCCGGACATTCTGCAAAAAGAAGGAAGACAGCGTTTCAAGTGTATGTCTGACCGTCGGCGCCCGTTGCACTGTACACAGAGCAAAGGGGACCAGGTTTTTAAATGCTGATGTCATACCAATGTTAACGTCTCCAACGACAGATTGCTTGTAGAGCCCATAGATTTCTTTCAGTTCTTCGTCCTTGGGCTTGGCCTTCAGTTTCCTCACGTCTCCTGCGACTCTATCAAAATCAGCCTAAGGCAGGAGGAGAGAAACTCAATAGGTCCATAAAAGAGGCACACAGTGTAGTCACCCCCTTTGCCGTCCTCATCCGGGGTATTCACCACCAAGCAGCGAGGAGAGAGGAGGGAAGTTTCCAATAGAATGGGTTGGCTCCTATGCTCTGGTGCTGCTAACGCTCCCCATTTATTGTAGCGTGTGGATGCCCCTCTGGGTTCTTACCCGATTAACAGGCGAAATACAGGAAGCTGTAGGATACACGTGTTTTGACTTTCAAAAAGGCATCCCACTCAACGTCACTTCCTGGATCACACTCAAGGGCCCTCCTTTCCCTTTCTTCTCAAATCTTCATTTTACTAAATGCAGTTCCGCTACCAATTCATGTCCTTGGCCCGATAATACAACCTGGAGGCATTCTTCCACACCAGTCTAACAGTCAACACACAGATAATGGCTGCTGAGCGAGAGGTTGGAGAGTCAAGGCCATGCAGGGATGTTTCTGTAGAGAGAACTGACAATCTGCATACTTCCAAAAAGATCAGCCACCGAACACCCCATTGGGCACAGGCCTATTCTGACAGACATGGGGTTGCCAGGGGTTAGAATTGACTCAAACGTAACTAGGCGACTAGTTTCTGAGGGTAACTATTTCTGAATAAATGGCTCGTGTATATAAAAACTCATAACTCAACTGCCATGGACTCAACCCCACCCTAAAGCAACCCTGTAGGACCCAGTAGAATTGCCCCTGTGGCTTTACAAGTTTGCAAGTTTTTGCAGGAGGAGAAAACCCTCTTTTTTCCCCTTGCAGTGCATCTGTTGGCTTTGAACCATTGACCTTATGGTAAGCGATCCAATGGGGAACCCACCATACCACCAGGGCTCAGATTCCTTTAAACACTAAAACCAACAAGCCTGAATTCCACTAATTTCCAGAAATGAGAGGTTTCTAGACAACTGGCTTCCTGGACATTCTAGGTGCAAACATTGCCAGCGGCTGCCCGTCACGTGTGGGGATGGCAAGTAATGATGCCAAGTCCCGGGCTGTGGTTTGCAAAAGCGTGTCCTGAGTGGAGGGCAAAAAATCTCCAGCACTATCCCTGTATGCAAATATACTGAGTCTGCCCTGATTCTGACGTTGGGGGAACCGCGATGCATGCTTCCCCGTGGTGGTCCTCAGGTTCATCCAGTTCACAGTCTATGTCTCAGCCGTGGTCCTTACCTGATCTGCAGACAAAATACAGGGAACTGAAAATCCTTAACACTGAAAACCACATATGTGTTTATTCAAGAGAAAAAAGGGATAGTCTACATAAGGAAGCCACCCAGCTTGGCTTCCTTTGTAACCTGAGCCCTCCAGACACCCGCGCCCACTCCCGGTTAATCTCTTCAGTTCTGCTGTACAAAGAGGCTTTGTGATCACGTTCCTTATTAGAATATTTCAAACCTTTTACTTTTTTTAATAAACGGAACTTCACTTGGTATTATTCATCAACACTGCAGATAAACAGGAACTGTCAAAAAAACATCCTAGTTCTCAGAGGAGGGGGGCTAAATGAAGTAGTCTACTCTCACCTGCTTCTATTTCCTTCTCAATTAGCAGAAGCCCTTTGGCTCCAATGACCCAGATACCTCACAGAGAAAGTGGATCGCCCCAGTGTAACTTCAGAACTCTGGCGACCTCAGCAGAGTTGCTAGATGAAATTTCTATCCAGCCCCCAAATGGGACAGTAACCCAACTAGAACAGTTGCTTTGTGGTGAATAAAAAAATCCAAACATGCGGATATTGGAGACCTGGGCCGCTTCCCAAAGTCACCTTGAAAATGGCTCTGCCCCACCAACAAGCCCTACAGGGGTCTGAGAGCATTGGCCCATGTGACAAAGGTGAGGCCCTTGTCTTGAATCCCAAGGTTGGTTTATTTTTTTAATCGTTTTATTAGGGGCTCATACAACTCTTATCACAATCCATACATACATCAATTGTGTAAAATCAATTTGCATATACATTGCCCTCATCATTCTCAAAACATTTCCTCTCCACTTAAACCCCTGGCATTAGGTCCCCTCCCTCCCTGCTCCCCCCTCCCTCATGAGCCCTTGATAGTTTATAAATGGGTATTTTGTCATATCTTGCCCTGTCCGACTTCTCCCTTCACCCACTTTTCTGTTGTCCGTGCCCCTGGGAGGAGGTCACATGTAGATCCTTGTAATCGGTTCCCTCTTTCCAACCCACTCTCCCTCTACCCTCCCAGTATCGCCACTCACACCACTGGTCCTGAAGGGATCATCCACCCTGGATTCCCTGTGTTTCCAATTCCTATCTGTACCAGTGTACATCCTCTGGTCTAGCCAGACTTGCAAGGTAGAATTTGGAATCCCAACGTCTTTCTAAGAAGTGTTGGCTACTTTATGTATAACATCACGAGGAGGAACACGGTGCCGGAGCCTGTGGGACACTGTGTTGGCTCCACCCCTCCAGAGCGGTGTCACTTTGAGCAGGAGACGTACCTTCTCGGCTCTATCTTTTCTCTTCTTTTTTTTTTTCTGCTGCTCTATCTTTTCACCTGAAATATGGGGCAATACCAATACCGCTGTATAAAGTCAACACACGAAAAACACCCAAAACAGCACCTGGAACATGGTGAATACTCAAGAGAGGTTAGCATTAGTAGTGATTATTATTATTATTATAAGACTCTGGTCAAGAACCAAACTAAACCTCGTTTAGGAGGAAAAAAATTCCTCTGAAGCAAGACATTAAAAACACTTGCTGAAGACAAAGTGGGTGAATAAGCAAATGTGGTGAAGAAAACTAATGGGGCCCGGCTATCAAAAGATATAGTATCTGGAGTATTAAAAGCTTGAAGGTAAACAAACGGCCATCTAGCTCAGAAGCAACAAAACCCACATGGAAGAAGCACTCCAGCCTGTGCGATAACGAGGTGTCGAAGGAATCAGGTATAAGGCATCATCACAACAAAAAATCTTACCATACTGAATGAGGGGGGGAAACCCAAAGCCCAAAGCCCATTTGTAGACCACTGGAGATCCCCTTGCAGAGGGGTCTCGGGGAGGAGATGAGCCAGACAGGGTGTGATGTAGCAACGATGAAAAATACAACTTTCCTTTATTTCCTAAATGCTTCCCCCACCCCTCACTATCATGATTCGAATTCTACCTTGCAAGTCTGGCTAGACCAGAGGATGTACACTGGTACAGATAGGAACTGGAAACACAGGGAATCCAGGGCGGATGATCCCTTCAGGACCAGTGGTGTGAGTGGCGATACTGGGAGAGTAGGTTGAAAAGAGGGAACTGATTATAAGGAACTATATGTGACCTCCTCCCTGGGGGACAGACAACAGAAAAGAGGGTGAAGGGAGACGTCGGACAGGGCAACATATGACAAAATAACAATTTATAAACTATCAAGGGCTCGTGAGGGAGAGGGGAGTGGGGAGGGAGGGGAAAAATGAGGACCTAATGTCGGGGGCTTAAGTGGAGAGGAAATGTTTTGAGAATGATGAGGGCAATGAATGTACAAATGTGCTTTACACAACTGATGTATGTATGGATTGTGATAAGAGTTCTATGAGCCCCTAATAAAATGATTTAAAAAATAAAATAAAGAAAAACACTCGCTTTTGAATATATTTCGTATCTCTGTACACTGAAAGTATCTATGAATAACGACTAATGATAAGCACACCTAACATACATGTTATGGCTCCTAAGTACCATTCTCCACATTAGAAATGGAGGTTCTTTAGAGAAATGGCTAAATCAGCTTCTGAGGCCAGAAATGTACAAAATGAGGAGGGAACATCTTGTCACACCACTGGCAACTAAAGAATATGCATGAAAATATGAATTGCAGCAGCAAATTCTATTCTTACTGATATCAAATATTATTAGTGACCCTTTGGATGTTACAGAATAAACTTATTATTTTGAAAAAAAAAAAAACCCAAAACAACTCGTTTTTGGTCGGTGATCTAACAAAGATTATGGAATTGCTTTTACATGCCCACTTTGTCAACTGTGTAGAAAACAAAAGAAGACTGATAATGTATAGACTAAAATGGATAAATAGTAGTTGCTTTCGGTTATTGGTAAGTCTTCTGATTTCAAAATACTTTCCAAATTTTCTATTATGCGCATGTGTTGTTGCATTTATACATTTCACACTAACAACAAGCAACTACTCCTTTGTGTTCAGGGCTTCCTAAAGGCAAGACAGAGCATGACTATTAAGAGAGATGCCTCAGGTTCTCCCCGTTCAGGTGTCTCAGGCGTCTCAGGTTTACTGCTTGCAACTCAACTCAGTTCCTTTGGGTAAGCCAAGGCTTGATTCGAAGTCTAAGGCTTTTCGACAACCATGCTAGGTCTCCGCCAGTCAGGAAAGTTCCTGGAACATTGCTCTTTACATTTGGGGGGTATGGGACCATGTGGCAATCTAATGAAAGCAAGCCATGGGCCCTTGTCACAGAAGAGGCTGGGCCCTGGACACACATACTCTCTCGGGTCCGAATGCTTCTTCCTATGCTGGAGGAAAACCCCTGCTCTATGGGCTTGTGCAGATGGACCTCCCTCTTGGAAGGTTTCATGATGGAGACATGCAATGTCAGAAAGCACAGTGGCCTGCCCTCAGGATGCTAGGACCAGAATGCCAGCTTGGAGACCCCCTGCTGTGGGACGTAGTGCAAGTAATAGTGCTCTTGAACGAAGGTTTAGCTTCAATCAAAAGATGAAAAGACCAGTCCCGGTGGGGAGTGCTGTCAGGATTGGATATGATTAGAAAGATATATAAATATCCTTGGTCTGGGTTCTGTTGACTCTGTGCCCCAGAATACATCACATGGCCTTTACTGTTTAATCAGTTTATTGAGCCCCCCTGAGGTGTCAGGCCATTGCTAGGCAGCTGGAGCTGAATGCAGCAGTTGCTCCACAGAAGCTCCGTCTAGCTGGAGATGAGCAGGCCCACAGCAGGCCGGGTGATACTTGCTCGAAGGGA